TAGGCACCAAAGTGCTCGTTCGCCACTCATTTGGCATCTTCTTCGTTTTCAAAATCCTATTGAAAAGGTCAGTGAGCCATGTTATACCTGTCTCTCCCAAAAGTTTCCACACTTCGATTGGTATATCGTCTGGGCCTATTGCTTTTTTATGCTTCATCTTCTTCAAAGCTACAACCACTTCTTCCTTCCGGATTCGACGATAAAAAAGAGTAGTTTCTACACTCTTCTGAGTTACTCAACTCCCCTAAAGAAGCACTCATTTCATGTCCTTCATTGAAAAGATTATGAAAATAACCTCTCCATCTGTCTCTTTAACCGCGTTCTCTGTAGCAAGAACCTTTCCATCCTCATCCTTGATGCACCTCACTTGGTTTAGGTCCCTTGTCTTCTTTTCCCTTGCTCTAGATAGTTTATAGATATCCAACTCTCCTTCTTTGGTATCTAGTCGTTTATACATATCGTCGTAAGCCGCTAACTTAGCTTCTCTGACAGCTTTCTTCGCCTCTTGCTTCGCTTTTCTATACCTTTCACCATTTTCATCGGTCCTCTCCTTGTATAAGGCTTTACAACATTCCTTCTTAGCCTTCACCTTTGTTTGTACCTCCTCATTCCACCACCAAGATTCCTTTTGGTGTGGGGCAAAGCCCTTGGACTCTCCTAATACCTCTTTTGCTACTTTTCGGATACAACTAGCCATGGAATCCCACATTTGGCTAGCTTCCCCCTCTCTATCCCACACACATTGGGTGATTACCTTCTCTTTGAAAATGGCTTGTTTTTCTTCTTTTAGATTCCACCATCTAGTCCTTGGGCACTTCCAAGTCTTGTTCTTTTGTCTTACTCTTTTGATATGTAAAATCCATCACCAATAAGCGATGTTGATTAGCCACGCTCTCTCCTGGTATAACTTTGCAATCCTTACAAGTTATACGATCCCCTTTCCTCATTAGAAGAAAATCTATTTGTGTTTTTGACGACCCACTCTTGTAGGTGATCACATGTTCTTCTCTCTTCTTAAAGAAGGTGTTGGCTAAGAAGAGATCATATGCCATTGCAAAATCCAAGATGGCTTCCCCATCCTCGTTTCTCTCCCCAAAACCATGGCCACCATGAAAACCTCCATAGTTGCCTGTCTCCCTGCCCACGTGTCCATTTAAATCTCCTCCTATAAATAACTTCTCCGTCTGAGCAATTCCTTGCACCAAGTCTCCAAGGTCTTCCCAAAATTTCTCATTCGAACTCGTATCCAACCCTACTTGAGGTGCGTACGCACTAATCACATTGATAAGTTCTTGTCCTATTACAATCTTGATTGCCATGATTCTATCTCCTACTCTCTTGACATCTACAACATCTTGTACCAAGGTCTTGTCCACGATGATGCCAACACCGTTTCTCGTTCTATTTGTGCCCGAATACCAAAGTTTAAACCCTGAGTTTTCTAGATCCTTTGCCTTACTACCAACCCACTTAGTTTAAACACAAATAATATCGGTCGAAAATCCTAGGATCCTCTCCCTCCTCAACTAATGCTTTGCCAGTTTAATTAGAGACTTAACCGAGTATAGTGGCCATCCTAATGGAGAACATGTAGGCATGCATGGGTTTAATAATCAATCAAGACCGTCTAAAAGCGCGGGAATCATGCACTTCCTAGGTTTTCCAGTGCTACGTGTACGGTGATGATACGTAGATGCATGCAAACTGACTATATGATAAGCTAAACTGTCGGGGATATGTGATGAGGGTAGTGAGAGTTGAGCCAATTGTCCCCCTCTTGTTCTCTATGTATATGTATTTATATTTTAACATTAACTATATTGTTCCATTTATTATAATTTTTGTGTATTAAGCATGATGGTTACACTAGTTCTTACTAATTCGTAATATTATAGAACTCGAGTAGGAATGGTACTAATTTCGTATAAAATCTTTACTAATTCAACTGAATCGAAATGAAAACTAATGTGATTATTAAAATGCCCTTATTCTAAATACATTATTTTTATGTTCTTATTGTTTTTCAATTGTTTTATATACTAATTAATTATTATCCATAAATAATAAAACTTCGATTAGTTTTATTCATTTTTACCTACATATTTCAATAAATTATTTTATAATTACTAAATTATTTTTATAACTTTTTTTTTTGTAAATAATAAATTATTTTATAGTCTAATTAATAGAAAACATATATTAATCTTCTATTAATTTTTAGTAATGAGCAACATCGGGAGTTGGGAGTCTTTTATGGAATGAAGGGTAGTGTTGGAATAATAGATTAAAATCAAGTGAGGGCATAATTGGTAAAAGAGATCCTCCAATTCACCTCATGTCTCGGACTTCAAATCCCTCCATCGCAAGAGAGTACAAATTCTCCAAAAAGAGGAGTTTGATTCCTAAATTTGCGTAGACCTCATATGCGTTTTGATTCCTCAAAGTTAAGAAAAGAAAAAAAATATCTTGTAATTAAAATTCAATTATATAAATTGATTCTGATTACAAACATATAAACACGGGATAAAAGAATCTCTCTAGTCTATTAGTGGGCGTACAAGATATTGAAAAAAAGGACAAGAATTAGGTAGGGTTATGGAACTCATTTTTCCAAGGAGTTGTCAAAGATCTGGTGCTCATCAATGCTGTACGTACGTGGTGTATATATATGCTTACAAGTGTCTCGTGTGTTGGTTTCCTAATTGGTATTAGGTGCAACGGTATAAAGTTAGGGTCTTGGGTGCCAAGATCAGCCAATCTGGCGGCCGATTTTCTTGCGTCGCGTGGTTTTCCAGAATTGGGTGATCGGGTTTGGATTGACAGACCCCCAACTTCTCTGGTTCATGTGTTGAATAAGGATGATCTTCCTTGTCCTCATTGATTTTGTTGTGACGGTGTTAAGGACGACGCTCATTTTGTTTTAAGCGTCTTCTGGTTGTATCCCTTTTCATCGCTTGTTCTTCGCTGTGCCTTTGTGGTGTTAGCTTCCTGGTAGGCTTTTTTGTTTTTGTTGGCTTTGTTGCCTGGTTTGTTCAAAAAAAAAAAAAAAAAAAAAAAAAAAAAAGTTAGGGCTTACACTTCAACAGAGCGAGTTTCTTGTTTAATTACGCTGTTAAAAGTCCCACTTTCACTCGGAATATTTCCACAAGTTACCAACAAAAACATGATCTGTCTTTTGACTTGCCCTAGTTTGGTTAAACGAAGCTTTTTAATAGCTAGGTTTTTCGGGTAATATTGCATCTTCATATTATATTTTTAAGTGGAAAGGAATTAACAAAACTAATCCACACAAGTGATGGATGACCTCTTTCTTTACGTTTGGTGAACTGCAACTCTCCCCTACCTTTTTCCCCGTCGTTTTAAGCGATCCCTCAAAAGGATGAATCCAATTCAACTCAAGTGAATCACCACCAACCCAAAAAAAAGAAAGACCACCAATTTTCTTTTTCTAATTTATATTATTAAACAATGAGCATCAATTGGGCTTTTTTTACATATAGTAATCTTAAAGTAGACTATGAAGAGTTTGAGCATGCACCATATAAAGTATACACAAGGTGAAGGAAAATTCTAAACATATTTACTAGTGACTTTAATATACTATGGTGGATGTTGGAAAGAAGAGACCTTTTTTTAGTGAGCTCATAATATGTGTAAATATGTCATATATCATCATACAAATAGATGAGTACACGAAAAAAAAAAAATCCTTCCACTTGTACTATGACGTATGGCATATCACCCTATGCTTTGGGCATATTAAAAAAATCTCTTATTAAAAGGTGTAACAATACAATCAAGTCTTATCTCATTAAGCAAAGTCAGTTATATAAATTTTAAAATGTTATTGTGTATTGCGCAAAGAGTAAATAAGAAGAAAAGAATTGGTATGCCTTATTTATTAGCCTTGGTCCTAGGAAAGAATCTATAGCCTTGGGGAACAACGAAAAGAGGTTTTGGACGTTCTTTTGGGTTTTGGATCCTTGCTTTAAACGAATCCTTTATTTACTTTTGTGTTGCCGAATGCCGAGTGCCAACCTTGTCAAGTGCGACAGCGGCGACACTCTCCATCCCTTCTCAGGATATTTCATATCTCAATGCCTCTATATTCTTTTCTATTCAACTAAAGTACTCAAAAGTCACTAGCACTAACATTTTTCAATAGTTTAGAAGTTTCACGTTCTTCTATAAATGATAACGATACTATATTTTATTGCGAATTTATTGTTTGATTTAGTTCAAACTACTAAAATTTTGATTTTAATTAGTTTTATTTATACAAAGTAATGTACCTAAAGTATTATTACATAGTGCATAAACCTATCACATTTTCCGGCATTATTACGTGCAAAACCGAAGGAGTTTTCGTGTATATATTGCTAGACAATCATGCATATATAGTTACACATAAAAATTGAAGTGAAATGTAGTATGATATGATTGATTTAGTATATCGTTACAGTGATATTTTTGTAAAACACTCATCCAGTTCACAGTGAATTTGGCAATAATTTGCCACAGATACTCACTTAGACACAATCGACGGTTTTACGACCAAAATGAAAAAGACGACAAACGATGGATTGTTCGACATTTTTGCAACACAAACAAACCAGCTTTCTAATTCCACAGTTCTACTTGTGCAGTCAAAACCTTAGGTGGAAATTAAACAGTCAAAAGATAAACTAAAGAGAAAGAGCCACCCATCCCATGCATGCCACACAAACTCACAAAAGTATTTCCAGCACTTTTCCTTTTTCCTTCATATCTCTTGTATTTTTTTGGTTCCATTTTTGGCCTTTTCTCCTCAAGAAAAGAGAAATGTTAAGAAGATCAAATTTTTTAAATTAAATTTACAAACTAAACGATGTAACTAGAAATGATTAGATTATTAATTAAATTTCGATTAACGTGTTTATTTCTTATTAGTAAGACGTAATTTGTTTTAAAAAATTTAATCTCTCTGACATTACTCCTAAATTAGCATTAAACATGGTCCATCAGTCATCCAACTAGTATTACTATCTAATTAAAAGCACATTATATATGTACACACATTTTTAACAGTCATAAATTGTTAATGAAGCACTAAACCGCAATGATAAAACTAAACTAAGTTGTGATCATGACTCAAAAAATCAAAATTTAATTACCCATTTTCTTTTTACATGAACTTGAGAGGGTAATTTACGGACAACCCACAAAAAAGAAATAAAGTAGTCTTTTCCTTGAACATGAAGATGAAGAAGATGGAATTAGCTAAAACCCACCTCATTAATTAAGCCATATTGCAGCTTAATTGCCGTCTTCAGGGGAGGAAACATCTTAACCTAATACTTATTGACTCCACACACCCCATATTCTCTCTCCAAGAAAGCCCACAAACCTTCTCACTGACCCTTTTTCCGAGTCTTCCTCGTCAACCTCTCCGCCACCGCCACCGCCACCGCCACCGGCCTCTTGGTCCGCCGTGTGAGACTGAGCCAGCTCCTTCTTTTTCACACTCAACTCTGACCGCTTCAATTCACCCGAGCCATTATTAACCCTACTCTTGTTCCTCCTCTCTTTCCTACTACTCTTTGATGAAAATCCTTTGCTCTCAGTCAGCAGCTCATCTTCGAAAGCATCGATGATCTCGTGGATGAGTTGGCGATTCGGCGACTCGTCCCATCTGACCCAGTAACTCGTGTAGCACCTGAAGCAGTTGCAGTTAAACCTAGCCGGGTGGTCCCCGCCGACCCCACCGCCGCCGATGACGCCCTTTGCTGCTGCCGTCTTTTTGGAGGCGGCGGTGGTTGTCTTTTTACGTGGAGCAGCGTACGAGGAGGAAGAGGATAAGTTAACGGAGCTGTTAGAACAGGAGATGAGGTAAGCCAGAACTTCTCTATCCTCGGGTGACAGAGCCGACGCCAGGGTGAGGATGGTGGCGGGAAGGAAGGCCAGGTGGTCTGATATGATTGGCGGTGACGGATGAACCGTGCCCCTTCGGTAGAGCTTCTTCATGGTTCAATTGTTGCTGAAACAATTGGCGATGAAGATTGAGGTTTAGAGAGAGAGAGAGAGAGAGAGAGAGAGAGAGAGAGATAGAGAGGCATTGGGGTTGGTGATCCAGTGATGTAATGAGATTAAGAAAGTTTGAGTTCTGATTGGGGTAATGTTCACATGAGACGCGGGACTACAGACATGTATCTGTACTCGCAGCCTCATCAGAGTGAGTTAATACTGAATAGGATTGCTTGGACGATTGTGATGTGGTGGGACCAACTTAATATGATTAATCGCTCTCTCTTCTTAAGTAAGGGTTGGCAACTTGGTAGGACTTTCTCAGTCCAAGCTTAGGTCCCGTTTGGGATTGAGGTGATTTTAAAAAAAGTCACTGTGAAAAAAAACTGAGGGTCATTTTTGTGTTTGGTAAACTGAAAAAAAAGGCTTATTTTGGAAGCTGCTGTGAGAATAAGCTGAAAATCAAAGGAAAAGCTGAAGCTGCTATTTGCTGCTTTGAAAAAAAACCAGTTTTTTCAAAGCACACGGAGCTACAGTGCTCCTTTAATGAAAAGACACACTATCATCCTGATTTTTTTTCCAAAAGCACTTTCATAAAAAAGTTTACCAAACACTCTACTGGCTTTATTTCACAGCCGCTTATTCTCACAGCAGCTTTTTTTCAAAGCACAGCAATACCAAACCAGCCCTTAGCCTTATTTCTGCGGTGCGACATCAATAACAACTTTCATCCAACATAAATGTCATTGCCTTGCTCTGCAAAATGAATCGTGCTTCGTTACACATGACATGACAATGTGTAGTATTGTACTAGAGCCTTGATCTTGGCCGTATCTACAATGATAATGGAAAAGATGCGATGAGAATGCAAATGCGATCTTATCTAAATTAATCATGTTGCGTACAAAAGTTAATTACATATTAGAGTGTGATAAGTTTAAAATACCGCAGCAGTGACATCTTTAGTACATTTTTCCGGTGTTATTACAAGCCAAGGTGTAGTGTATTTTAAAGACCATGCAATTTTACGATTCAAAAAAAATAAAAATACCATGCAATTTATTGATTTGTAGAGATTCCATATAAAATTTTGATTCAATTCCCTCAAAATCTCATGGGGAGAGGTGAGATTTGTGGATGCTTAAAATACACTACAAAATATCTCCAATTCCCTCTAATTCTACAATTTTTCCAATTCTTTAAATTCAAATTCTAATTGAATACACCTGAAATGTTATAAACTTCTTTAAAATTCTAATTGAATACACCCGGATTTCTAAAGATTTTAACAAACTATCTTAAAATCTTAATTGAATACACATTAAATTTCAGAGAATCACTTAAAATCCTGATTGAATACGCGTAGATTCATTAAAAGAATTAAAATCCCCTAAAATCTCAATTGAATACATCTCCTTAGAATGAGTCAAAGGGAGTTTCAATTTAATAGATGATTGAATAATATGGCACTGCAAGTAGGATGTCATCTTTCGGATACGATTTCGTTTTCTAATAATAATAACGTGCAATTTGGGCTATATTTTGTTGACTTGTAAATTGAAAACATACAACTACAAGTGTGTTTAAAATCCACAAACGGACAATGTGTCTTGTTTTTTGAAAATTTGAGTAAGATCTGAAAATTCTAAAAACTTCGAATAGAAATTTTATAATCTTCAAATGGCAGCAGCCTGATGAGCGATGCACGAAGACCATTGGGAACAATAGGAAGATGAGTGAAAGAAAGTTCACACGAGAGCCACTTACTATTGTATTCAAGTCTCACCCGAATCCAATTCGAGACAAGGCAAATTTTACACAAGCCACAATGATCAAATATGAGTCGGAGTATAGCCGCGAGTTTTGAATTTCGCACGTTCATAACGATTCAACACCAAGGACCTATGACTATAATCGGATCAAAGGTCACATTCCTGCAAACCATCAAGAAGAACTTTGTAGACGAGTTTTGATCCATGATTCCAGGTGCTTGAGCTCCTCAGTGGTTATTGAATGTCCAAGACCAGGATAAGCCTGCAAGTTAGAAACGGATGAAATGAAGGAGTTGAATAAAAGTGGAGTAGCGTTCATTTGATGAGTGTTGTGTTGTGTTGTGTTGCTTGCGTATTATTACCTTAAACTCGCAGCTTACACCAGCTTGTTCGAGGAAAGGGGGACCTGCTTGTCCAGCTTCAAACAATACCATATTGTCGGCTATCCCATGAGACCACAAAATAGGCGTCTGCACATGTATTCAGGTATACGTAATCAGATTGTTGAATCACGTGAAAATGAACATCAAACCACCAGTTCGTTTCAACCAAATTTAACATTGACACCACAAAATTAGATTTATTGGGAAAGTTCGATTAATAGGAGAGAGGACAGCGCATATATTAGATATCAAATATATGGGACAAAGTCAAGGATGATGGCGATGATGGTATCACGACAATATATGGAAATGCAATTTCAAGTTCGAATTCTTAGAATGACAAGACATAAATTATTGAAGCACAATAACGGATGCTAATCATGAAAAATTTCTGAAAAGTACCCTTTTCGCTTCTGGTTTTATTTGTTCCACCATAGATGAATTGAAAGGAAGCCATCCACTAAACACTGCACCTCCTCCTAGAGTTTTAGGGTATAGCAGAACACTTGCCAATGTCAAGGCACCTGATAAATATATTGTATTTGCAAGTTACCAGCAGTAAAGAAATCAATCGCACAAGTGTTTCTAGCAGTGTGTAAGTCTGAGTGCATAAAGAAAGAGACCAACCTCCTTGACTGAATCCACACACAAAGACATTACTAGGATTTGTGCCAGCTTCTATCTCCTTGTCTATCATCTTATGCACATTCTGAACTGCTTTAAGCAGGCCAGCTTCTTCTCTTGGAGAATTCTGAAATACGTAACAACGCGGTCTTCAGTAAACAACATAGTATAAGCAATGTTATGATCAAGGAGCAAAGAGACAATTCCATAACACTATCCAATGGAATACATAACACAGATTCAAAGATAAAGATTTAAGCGGTAGAAAAAATAAATTTAGAGAGACTGATGGCATTATCGCCTAATGACCACTAATTTGACTTTAAGAATAAGGGTGGAGAGTAAGATCAAGATTATAATACTGTCTAGGCACATGCTAGGTGCTACCAATGATCAAGCAGATTTAGAAGAAATAAAAAAATATGAGAAGAAATGTAACCATAACTTACAGAGGTCATAGGAATTTCGTGGATGTCAAACCATGAAGGCATCACAGCACCATCTACAAGAACAAGCATATCAGCATGAGGAATGCTATTACATCATACTTACTTGCTTAAAACAAATTATGCTCTTCATAAAGTCTTAATTAACACAAGGAAATCTCTGCAACATTAAAGTCCCAGCATGCCTTCAATGACAAAAAAAGAAGAGAGAGATATCCGCAGTTTCAACATTGACTGTAAATCTCTCAGCTTTATTTTGAAACTTCAAACTAAAAGCAATGGAACTTAAGTACTGATGACAAACTGACTCAAGTGATCTTTTCCCTCTTCATCTATGGTTCTGAGCACTCATTTCAATGTACTTTCAACAATTTGCAGCACGAAACAACTAGTTTCTCTCGTAAGCAATACAAATTGTATCCATTCTAGACGACGACTAGTCGAAATTTAAACAGAAGTCTAATATTTCTAACCAATTCTTTGCAGTGTCAAATATCAAGGACCCTTCAAGCTCATCCTGGCCAACAAGCATTTCATTGCAAATGTAGGTTAGGCCAGTTAGTCAGTGAAGCGTACCCGCCCCCTGGAACCCAAGTCCAAACCCCCTTCTCATAAACCATGCAGTTTAAATTCACGCTTTGTGAAACCAATAAAACAAAACGCATTTGATCATTTAACAAGTCAATAGCTTCCCATAACAATCCTCCGAACCCATGTCAAGCAACTAATCAAGACCCTTAATTGCATATAAATAAAGTAAAAGTACCAATTTTGATTAAAAACCCATGAAAATTAAAGCACAACCCAAATCAAATTAGCCATACACAAACAAATCCAATGCATGTAGAAAGGAAGCATGCCAAAATTGTCCGAGTGAAAATGTAAACTCACAGTTGCAAGAGACTGGGGTCGACGGAGCAGTTGGGAAGGACCATTTGGTGTTCCGGAACTCAGGGGAAGTGAAGAGGGACTTGATGGGCTCGTTGGCTGGGCCTGAATCGCCCAACCCATGAAGCCAGAGAACGAAGCTCCGAGCCGCCATTGACGCTGGTCTCGGAGAAGATTGATTTGACGGTCGGGAGAGTAGTATGAACAAGACGGTGCTACTCACGGTCACTATAAACAGAACAATTGGCTTTGCTATAACGATAAGCTTCATGCTCGATCATCGTCCGCGGACGAGCTTTAGAGCTTTCGCCAATTTGGGGGAATTCGATGTCAAATGACTTAAATTACCCCTCAAAATGTATTGATTTACCTTATGCCCTTTCATGTTTTTCACATGTTCCTTTTCAACAACCCTAAGCTTACGTTTATAGAGAAGTAAATTTTCAAGCGGATGTGATTACTAATGCCGAATTTCATTTTAATAATTTTTATTTACGAGAAAAATTAATGAAAAAAAAATCTGAAAATTTTAAGTTTTAACGGTAAGAACAAAAATTGCTAGTGTGTTACCGAGCATCTTTCGTTAGATCAGCCCCCCTTTAATTGCGCACGTGGCGGAACACTATTGGCCATCTCAAAACACACGGTCGAACAGAACAGAACAGATCTTGTTGGTCTCTCTCTGACCTGAGCGAGCTGCAGAAAGCTAGAGAGAGAATAAAGCATGGCGGCTTCAAAGCTCCAAGCGCTGTGGAATCACCCGGCCGGTCCTAAAACCAGTGAGTCCCACTCTCTCCGATTTCACATCCGAATTATCTTGTTCTCCGTATATTTTTATTCGAATTTTTGCATTTTTTTTCTATTTTTTTAAATTTTTACTGTCTAGCAAGATTTAGATCTGCTGCGTTGGATAAAGACACAATTTGAGCATTTTCCTACAAATTAGAAGTTGGAAATTTGGAAAAGTATTTGGTTCTTTAGACCAATATGTTCAAGTTTGAATTTTTGAATCGTTTCCACTTATTCTTTGATCAAGTGCACTGAAAATTTGTTTTATTTTTGAAAAATTAAGGTGCTTTCGAACAATGTGATATTCTAAACCAATGATAAAATGAATTCAAACTCTAGGCCGGTACACCAAGCGTCATAAATTACAAACGGGTGACTTGGTGTACCGGGCCGTGTTCTCAGCACATTTGAAAATTTTCTCGTGTTCAAGAGGTAGGCAAAAGCACCCCAAAGATTTTTCTTATTGAATTGTTTGTTTTGTGGTATGACAAACGGATTATTTAGTATAATGCTATTTGCTGTGAAGGGTAGTGATATGTGGTAATTAAGTTAACTAATGTTGTATTGCAGTTCACTTTTGGGCTCCCACATTTAAATGGGGAATTAGCATAGCTAATGTTGCTGACTTCGCCAAACCACCCGAAAACCTTTCATATCCTCAGCAAATAGGTTCGTATATGTTGTTGTTTCATGTTTTATAACCAAGTGGTGCTGTAACTGTATTCAATCTTTGTAAGATGCAGATCGAGTCCCCTCAAATTAATATTTCCCGCTTTTGTTTTGTACCCAGCGGTTGCGTGCACTGGAGTTGTTTGGTCACGTTATAGCACTGTCATAACTCCGGTAAGTTGAACTAATTGACATAATGTTCCTACCCTAGAACATCAGAATATCGATGATAGTTGATCGATTCAGGAAGTGTCAAACAGCTGTTTTTCTGTGAATTTTGTACATAACTCAGGCAATTGTTGGATGGCTTATATGATAAATTCATATACAGCTTGTGCTTTTACTCTCAAATTTTGTAGATCATATGAACTAGGAACGTATCTTTTGTGGATTTGGCATGTACTCTGTGTGGTTTAATTTAGGTTTCCTTCAAATGATTCATGTGTTAATTTGTAGTTGTGAATATGAAACTTTTTACTTTCCAAGGAGAGAGAGGTTCGAGAATTGGATGTTAGGTTTCATTAGGTGATAGACCTGCTTTCGGTTAACTTGTGAGCTCCAAAACCGTAGATACATAATATTCGTCACAAGAACAAAAGAGTCATGGATGTACTTTGATGTGGAAATAGAACATAAAAAGGTGCTTGGTTGTGGGTAACAGATGAGTGACTGTGCTTGCATTAAGGATTAGTCTTTTGGTTTTGTTCTTGATTCTGTGTATTGGAGCTTTCCCGAATGGATTTTCTGCTGGATTTTGAGTTTAGCGTTCTGTGATTCGCGATTGCAGAAGAACTGGAATCTTTTTAGCGTGAACGTAGCAATGGCAGGGACAGGCCTCTACCAACTCAGTCGTAAAATACGGTAAGTTCAATGTAATGATATTTGCTTGGTTGAATATTTAAGCGCGTGTTCATCATGACACAATCTTCTACTTTCCAGGCATGACTATTTCTCCGAGAAAGAGGCAGCAGTTGCCGAAGAATGATGACGAAAATTGTGCCAACCGCATCTTGTCATGGCTGCCAAGGCTCATGTTGCCTCCTTCCCTTCTCTTTGTATTGAATTTGATTTTTTACGCGCAAATGTTTGATTTGCCTTCCTCGAGGGATTTGGACAATATTTGTATTGAATCTGATATCTTACGGGCAAATGTACGATTTGCCTTCATGGAGGGATTTGGACAGTTGAGTTTGATGCGGTAAGGGGTATTTGTACCTCTGTGGACAGTTGAACAGCCAAAAATTCCCACCAAATTCACTAATAAATGTTACCTCCAACTCTCTTCGACACTCTTCGACAATATTTTGATTTGCAGTGCTTACGTCTAAATATAAGCATTTCATACTCCCTCCCCCAACTTCCCAGGTTCTGCAGAATTTTCCGGCCGGAAGGAAGAGAGTAGCTGTATGAAAATGATCGATCTCACACAATTTCATGGAAAGTTAACTAATCGCAGAGTGTATAAATGGAAAATCAGGCATGATGAAACTCAATTTCCACCCATGCAACATCTCGATGAATTCGCATGGATAATCGGCCTAATTAAAGCGTAGTAAGAACTAAAACTTCATAAATGTTTAATGGTTCAAAAGTTTACAACCTCACTACAATTTCCAGTACATGTCCCATCTCAGAAGTAAACAAAACAGGCCGGCCGAAAAAAAATCAATCATTTTAATGTTGAAATTGTAAGAATTGCATCTTTATACCAAATGGGTATGATTTGCAATCAGCTAAACAATGAAGACTAACAGAACACGTGAATGCCACCGAAACTCACTTACCCTATACGGCCGTAGGTAAAATATAAAGCCAAAGGGAAAACTGAATTCAGAATTCGGCTCCAACAAATTAGCTGCTCCTTGTAAAGTTATGAGTGCCAGTTTTCGAAGACCTCCAATATGGGCTCGACTGCTGCAACTAACCATTTCTGGTTTGTTCAGCTTTCAGACCAGAATCGTTGTCGTTTTCATGCCCATCAGAGCCCAAACTTAACTCCAACGTTTCATTCAGATCTTGGCATACTACCTGATTATTCTCCTATGTATGAAAAAAAACCACACCAAATTATTGTTAATAACAAAATGAAATCAAACCCCTTTTGATTTACTATTAGAGTTCAGGTACCAATATGATTTCCACAAGTTCTTAACAGAGAAAGGCAATTAAATTGAATCCCTCCAAGAGATAAGTACAGTCAATTTATGGTTCCCACACACACTAATGCATATAATAAGCATGTGTCTCCAGCATATAAAATCCTTGCTACACGAACGCAAAACAAGAAATGGTTTTAAAAAAAACACAAGCATAAAAAGGCACAAACGTTTCACCTGATTTTCTTCCATAGGAACGTCATTAATATCGGGTTTTTCATCTAAACCCTGATTCTTGGGGTTTGCCTCTGTATCAACTGGATCATTATCAATTGAGTTACCTTCATCTTCTGTAGCCTCATTTTGCTCTTCTTCTAGTAAAGCAATCTGCTTTGTCAAAAGAATGAAGTTATCATTCAACAGAAAACCCCCACCAAAAGCAAACAAGACACTTAAAGACAGTCAAAATGACCCTACGGTTCCTACCCAATTAACCCCATTCCAATCATGGAAATCTATCTAGCGATGTTATGATGGTGACCTGGGGAATGCTTACAACTTAAAACACAATGAACTCAATATCATAACTATCTTAGAGCCATTCTACCCATAATCCAATACAACAACAACAAAGCCTTTTCCCACTAAGTGGGGTCGGCTCTACCCATAATCCAATAAGAGTGTAAAATCATAGAGAACCTCTACAATGTTTTCAAATGTCATACGCACTATACGGACCAGTAAAAGTGACTATTCCCAATATCACAAACTCAAATTTGACTACTTCGTTGTAGTAGGAGTTGGGCCCTTAAGTAACTAAAGGGCAGTTCCTAGTAACTATTTTCCTAACTATCTAGTGTAAGCAAACCATCTGTTTTCCCTCCAGCCATCCACCATAAGAATAAGATTTTTGAAGCCAGCTCAGTTTATGAAATTGGTAATGTTTCTTCTAGTTGGAAATTGGTGACATGATCTTATTCTTATGACACGGCCAATATAACTAGGATGCTGCTTGATTCAGTCATGCATGTACTAGTGCAGGTTTTTGGAAAAAAAAGAATGGCTCGACACACCACAAAGATTCAGAGATCAAAATTTTCACTGAATATTTGCACTTAGCATAAAAAATGTATAAATAAGTACTTATAAATATTCAAAACTTCATCAATGCATTTACCAAGTTTCGTTACTACATACCTGCCAGTTGGCACTATGGATGAATGGCTGGAAACTCTTTCCAATAGAATAAAGTTCAGAGAAATACCAAAAGGAACTAGAAAATGGATATCGGTAACAACGTAGTATATTACTGTCTAGAGAAAAATGTCAATGTAACCCCAAAAACCAACTCCTAATTACCGAGATTATATATCAACTCTGTGCGAACGCTAGCTGAATTTTGTAATCAGTACAACCTCAAACATCTTATGTTTTCTCATAGAACTGAATCTTTTACTACAAATACAAAGTTCAGCTTAATGTGAGCAGCATTAAGTATGATTCACTTCTCACCAATAAACAATCAGTTTACGACTAAATACAAAACTTTCCAATGTGCCAATCCTTTCTCGATCCTAAATGAATTATCGTGAGCCGAATGAAGTAAGATTCACAACAGGATTAGGACTACTTATAAATCAAAAAACCAAACCACACCAAAATCCAATAACAACTCTATTGTATCCAAACTTCAACATAACAAACGATAACTCATAACTCGAATTTGAATTCTAGCAAAACTGACTACAAGGCATACATTTTTCGACTGCAGGACTTGCTACAAGCATTAATGCAAATCAGGAGATCCTCACTTCACTCAGTCCACAACAAACTAACATAAACCCATAATTTCCAATGTTTTAAACACTTCCTTCCCCAAGATCCCTGAAACTAAACCCTAAATTACTATTAACCCAAAACAAAATATATAGATTTCAACTCAATTACAAAAAACCCATAAAGCTTTCATTAAAAAAATACAAAAATCAAACAACCCAGAACATCAATTAGACTTCAATCTAAGAATTCCAACAAAATCAAACAAAAATACATTCAATCAAACAAGCAAAATTGGGGCAAAATTACCGGAATGTATTTGAATTTTCGGCGGGGCGGTTCCTCGCTCGCTGCCAAAGCGCCGTCGTCCTTGGCAGAAACCTTGTCCCTGTCCCCTCCATTGGCGACTGCGCCATTACTAATGGCAATCGGGGTCCACTTGAAAAGCAGGAGATGCGAGCCGTTATTACCATTAGAGGAACCGTTAATCTGGTGAGAGTGATGGATGGAGGTGTTGTGGTTGGAGGGAGGAGCTACGTGTACCCACTTCTTCTTCCACTTCCTCACCGGCCCAGTAAACACCGTTGCCGGTCCGTGCCGGGTCGAGGTGCGCCCGAGTCGGGCCCCAACTCCCTCCATCTTGCTGATGGATCTCCGATTCTGCGTTGGCGACTCGCTAGACGTCCGATCCGGCTTTAAAAATTAAAAATTAAAAAAAAAAAAAATTTTTGGGAATTTCTGTATGATTCTTTGTTTCTTTGCTTTCTCTCTCTGAAACAAAGACTTTCTCTCTCTAGATTTGGGTTGGGTGCGTTTTTGATTCGTATATATGGTTTCCGTGTTTGGGTGGGATTGGGCGGTCGTCGGGCACTGTTACTATTTTGACGCTAAATCAGGGCCGTCTACGTGCATTCGTACTAGATTGGGGATTTTTATTTTTCGGCATCTTCTAATCCACCAAATCAGAGGATCCGTGCCGTTGAAATTTGATTCAACGGTTGAAGTTATTATAACTTTTATAGTGGATCCCTATTTGTAGTGGTTGAATCAAATTTTAACGGCACAGATTCTCTGATTTGATAGATTAAAAGGAAGGAATCCAAAAATGATCATTTTCCTTATTTTTCTTCTTATTCACATCTAGAAGCATAAAATAATCGACCTATATACGAAGAATTATTTCTAACACTCTAAAAATTTAAATATGCACTCTAAACTTTATATATATATATATATATAAATAAGTAAAAAAATACTCTTATAGAGTGTACAATTAAATTTTTGAAGTATCATGCCAATAATAATTCCTTATATATTTATTATTCAACCACAAATTGACGAGTGACTAATTTCCTTCACATGTAGTCGCAGTATCACATAAGTAGGCAGCGTACATTTGGTCCTCGTAGCAAATAGTATGCAAAAGCAGAGCTAATGACTCCAAACAATGAATCCGTGAAAATACAAACTCGAGCTAGTGACTCTATGAACCCCTTGGAGTTCTTATTTTCGAACAAGTACGATACAATCTGCATATTCACAATTCATGAGTTGATGATTCGCGATTAATATGACTCACAACTTAAGGGCTTATAGCCATATAAGTTACGAGCCACGAATCCATAAATTTAAGCAAAGAAACTAAAATACTAGCTAGGGGAATCATGGGATGTGCCTTGAAACTTGTAGTTCAAGACTCATGACTCTCAGTAATGTTATATCCATACCAAAAGACTCACTCCATCATGCATGAGAAACCATGTCAACTGAAAGAAGTTAGAATTCGGGAACACACATTTTTAAGGAACACTCCATAACTTTTTTCAACGTTCCTACAATGTTTAAGATCTGGACATGGGCCGTCTGAAGGATGATGAAGGACAAGATCGATGTGGTGAAGAGCGGAAACGCACTTAGGCGTCTGAGCGCATTGACCTTCCTTGTTTTTCGATCGTCACAGATGCCCTGTCATGAAGGTTATGCCATCTCCAACCAAATGAGGGCCAAAGGGCTCCCTTTAGTTCTATAGTCATACAAGAAATTATATTTTAATAAACAGTGATAGGCCATATTTTATATCATCTCCAACCGAGAAGGCTAAAGGACCATAGACCAAACATAGCCATTTGACAAAAAACCATCTTCAACTGAGAGGGTAAAATGGTCATAGGCCAAATATAATTTATTATTTTAATTAAATTAATATGGTTAATTAAATTAAACTACCATATTAAAATAAGATTTTCAGACATATTTTGAGTGTCATTTGTCGCCAAATGAATAAGCCTCTAGATTTCTTATTTTTATATAATCTCAATAATTTTTTATAGGATTTTGAGTAACAGGTGTCGCTAAAATAAGTAACTCTCTATATTTCTTATTTTTATGTAATCTCAATAATTTTTCTGATAAGATTTCGAGTGACACGTGTTGCTAAAATGAGAAACTCTCTAGATTTCTTATCTTTACGTAATCTTAATATTTTTTCGGATAGGATTTTGAGTGCCACGTGTCGAGATGTAATTGGCTATGCAAATTTTAGATAGGATTCTTATCTACGTGACACTTCTTATCTTCAGCTTTCAACGTTGTAGGAATGATGTAGGTATTTATAGGAAAAAAATTAGATTTTTCTTTATAAAAGTTCGTTAAAAAAAAAAAATCAAATTCCAATGGTAACATGACGGCAGCATGACGTTAGCTAGCTGGCGTTATGCTGATGCCTCAAGCCTGACATTCTGGAGCTAGAAGGCTGGCAAAATGTCAAGCTTGACATTATGGGGCTAAAAGGCTGGCAAAATGTCAAACTTGACATTCTGGAGCTAGAAGGCTGGCAAAATGTCAAGTTTGACATTCTGGCACTGAAAGGCTAGCAAAATGTCAAACTTGACATTCTGGAGCTAGAGGGCTGGCAAAATTTCAATCTTGACATTCTGGCGCTGGAGGGTTGGGCCTAGTTGGTTGGAAATGGCTAACCCGTTGACCTGATATGGGCCCGGTGGGGGCCCACAAGCCATTTGGCGTAACCCTCGGTTGGAGACGATTTTTGTGTCATTTCGAGTTATTTTTAGCCCTATGACCATTTGGCCGGATCGGTTGGAGATGACCTTATGCAGGAAGCCGCTCCAACTCCTCCAGTCCATTCAGTTTGGCCAACTTCTTGAGCTTCTTCCTCACGAACTTGTTTTCCACTAGAGCCAGTTCTCACTGCCTCATGCCTCAAATCCATGACCTCTTCATCAGGATCGGTGGGCTCGTTACAAAATTTCGAATTCTTAAACAGAACAATAACAACATTCAAGAGCAAACATGCTTGAACAAAAACCAAAGTGGCATCATATTTGATGTACTCCCATCACACGTATCAGCAGAAAATTATGCAAATTTAGGCGGCGTTTGTTGCATCAGACTGGACTAACTTCTGGGACTAAGCTGGACTGGCTTAGACTAGACTAAGTTTGACTGACTTGGTGAAACATTTGGTGCAGTGTCGGACTAAAAAGAAGGATAATAACAAACTACAATATTATATTTTTTAATTCATATCTAATAATATTATATTAATTAATTCTATCTTTTTTATTCTAATAAAACTCTCCCTCTCACTCGAAGCCTTTATTTTTTTTCTCCCTCCTTATCTCCCTCGTTCTCTTCGTCCCACGCTCTCCTTCCCTTCCCTCTTTTTTTCCGATTAATTGCCAAATTTTTTTCTACAAAACGAAGAATCGAGCTTGGTTTTTCAGGTTTTTGTTCGGTGCAAGATCCCAACTGGAGATAGCTTTCCAAGTCCATGGATTAAATCGGAGCCGCAAGTTTGTGGAGCGGCGGAACCGGCCTGCAGCGATGCCTGGCGAGCTGATCAGCGACAAGTCGGGGTTTGTGGAGTCGGGGAAGTGAGAGACGACGATGGCTTTGATTTGCAGATGGTATGGGCAAGTGCAAACGCACAGATCGAGTTTAACGTCGAGCTTTGGGTGAACGACAATCTAGATTTGCTCACCCAGGGAGCCATCGTCGTATTCGAGTAGCAAACGAGAAGAGAGGGAGAGAGTGTGATGGTCTGGTGGTGTGATTTGGCTGGAGTGAGGACAGAAAGCAAGCAACGCAGGGAGAAGAGCAAAGGGAGGTCTTAGCAGTCCCATGGTTATTGGGGGGTCTCGCTAAGCCCTCTTAGCAAAGGATTTTGTCTATGCGAGTCCCCTTAGTCTCATTAATGTTAATCCCAGCACGGAACAAACACGGTATTAGACTAACAGCTAGTCTAGTCCAATCCAGTCCCATTTAATTTTAATGAGGGCAAACAAACGCCCCCTTAAGGTTCTGTTACCCAAATCCTTTGAACATTTAGATTGTGAATCCCTGAACCAAACAATTACAGGCCAAATTAAAGCATACCACGGGCAATTAAATCACAACAATGATCATCTACATTCAAGGGAAGAAAAACAAACATGCTGTGAACTGAAATTCCTACGCAAAATTCCAAGCAACCCACATTTTCTTGGCCAGATTCTAGAGCTTTCAAAGAAACAAATAAATTGGGTGCAAGAACCAAACAATTGGATCAAACAATCCATCTCGACTGAGGGCTTCACAACAGTTTGAACACGAATATAAGAGAATGGACATAATATGGTTTTTTTTTTTTTGCAAACATAATATGGTTTTATTATCTAAATTATAAATTGAGTACACCTCAAAATACACTTTGGACTTGAAAATTTGATGATTCTTAACATGAGTTTGGTTGTGAATTACGGTGCAAGAAGACGGACACACACTATACTAAGTTATTGACTTTAACTTACAATTGAACTGCAAAGTACAATTTCACAATTTGAAATTGAAAATTTTCATAAATCATCATAAACATGGGAACAATTTTATCTTACAATTTATTTGAAAAATAATAAATATTTATGGGTATTTTATTTTACATACATTTTCTCTAATCAAAACCGAGATGGGTATTTACAATTGCAACATGGCAATTAGAACCGTAGCACCAAAATTATAATCTCAAATTTAATACAACAAAAATAAATCACACAAAACGACAGCTATAGCTCTTGAAACGCCGCAGTCAAACGCCCAACTCTCAAGCCATTCTTACCAGCAAAATCATCTCTGCAATAGTAAGACTTCGTAGGCAAGGCCTCAAACCCCATCGATCTCTTAACACCACCAAATCCATTGTTGGATTCCAATGTCGCGTTGGCGGCGGCTGATGATGCTAATGCATTTGTTGTGCGCTTGTAGGATCCAAACCATTTGGCCTGCATGTACCCGTTTCGCCGCCATGGCGGCATTGACATGTCCACGCTCTTCATAGATTTTTTGATCTCTGTGCACATTAGCCTCACGATTTTCTTCAGCTCATCGACTTCTCCGACGAATGTGTTTGGAAAGACGTCAAGGAGCGATGTGTAACGTGTCGTGGGACGAGCAATTTCGAACTCTCTAAAAAGGAATGGTTCGACAATGTAACGAGTTCCTTTGAGGTTGACATCGACAAACTCGTAGTCCCCTGCTGGAAACCGGCTCGATTTCACCCACTTTGATTTGCAAAGGCCTGCACCAATTGGATGAATAATGTAATTAGATATCAATCCCAATAGTTCTCAATGTAACGAGTTCCTTTTTTCTTTCAAATTTTGGGAACCAAAACATAAATAACACTACTAAGTTAAGAACTTCACTCACCAGCATCAAAACCCTTGTGGCGCAAGTGAGTCATTAACCTCCTTTTGAATCCCGGAGACGAATTGTCGTCCCCGATGCCCGCCAACGCAACTTCCACCTCAGTAAC